AGTAGGTACTTACTTTCTTTAATAGCGATGATTTTTCTTTGTACAACAGTTTAGTAAATTTTATTAAGGTTTAATTTGTATTCAATTTTTTTTAGTTAGTAATAGGCAGTGGTGGCTGGTGGGTTATCGGACTGCTGGTGCATTTTACTAAAATATTAAAATTAGAAAACGCATCAAAACAAAAATTGACACAATATACATATGTTTATTTTTTATACATTAAATCAATTCGACGACATTTTTCCGGACCCAAAAAGATCAATGACCTTTTTATTAAAATCGGGTATTGTATATATGAATTTATTTTCAATACAACAATAATTACATTGAAACTATACTGATAGTCTGATAACAGGATGTCAATCATGGCTGCCGTCGCCTCGCGCCCATGCCGGCCACACTCGCTGCAGCGCACGAGACTTTGTCTTTATAGGAAAATAAGTCTTAATAGTTTAGTAAAGCGCTCAAACTGTTTCACCATAATTGGAGATTTAAATTATTATACGTTTTTGTATGTTTAAAAATAAATATTAAAATGGTAATACAAAAATAAAGATGACTTAATAGGTATTTTGTAATTTTTAAATCTTTTGAATTGCACACGAGCGCACTTGAGGTACAGCCGCCACTGGTAATAGGTAATAGGGACGATAACACGGTAAAAAATTTTTTCTTTTTTTTTATAAACGTTGGACACTAGGATTATCTCCTGTGTCGTGGGTGCGTTTACAAACATACAACGTTCACATACACATGACATCCAGACTCGGAACAACAATTTGTGGATCACACAAAGTGTTGTTCCGTGCGGGAATCAACCCGCGACACGTTGCTCGGCAGCCGGTTGCCCAGCCACCGCACCAACCGTGCAGTCAAAATTAACAATCTAATTAGTCCATCAGTCAGGTAATGTAAAATATTAGACCTGTGTTTTTTTATTTTGTCGCATAAGAAAACAATAATACAATAAAACGAATCAAATTTAGGAGTGGGAGGTAGCTACGTTATTTTTGAGTATAAAACATACCCAAAAGTGACTTCACGCTTTTTTATTTTATTTTTATTTTATTGATTTGGCTCACCAACAATTGATTACACTTATACAATATAGGGTTACATTTACGAAAACTTAAATACTAGTGCATCAATCTATTATAGGTAAGCACAACATGCGTTATATACTTAATGGTTTACAAATCACTATGATCAGGCAAATCCAACCATTGACATGGATTTAACATTCAAAATAACTAAGAAGAACTAGTATCGGAGACAAATTGAATATTAAATTTTTGAAGTCAATATATCGTCGAAAGTATTTGTTTTCCGTAAGAAAATAAAAAATATGTGTCGAATGTTTTTAAATAATCTACCAAACGGATATTGAAATAAAAATTAATCATCTACCCTATTGTAAATCTGTTTTGTTGGTCGAACATTGATTTAGAGTTTCGATCACGGCGACGGAGCAAGTGGCTATTGTTATAAAAATTTCAGAATCCGTAATTTTCTGCTCTACGAGTATATTATGTCTGGTAGGAGAACTGGGGTCCATATATTAATGACACGTAACTTTAAGTAGGCACCCACCGCAAAGACTATTTTATACACTAATAATGAACTTAATTCCTCTTCCTTAAGGCGCACTTCTCTTTATTAGAGAAAATGAGTACATTATTTCTTCTCTAATAAGTCAACTAGCCACACCTCTCTTGTTACTTCTTAATTCATGTTTGCGCCTCCCTATTTCCTTGAGACAAACTAGCAGTACAATTGAAGTGATAATTTTTGAATAAGAATGTTCTTTATCTTTTTTTCTGTATTAATGCTTACCTACTTATGTTTAGTAATTTAGGTATAAAAATACGAATTTACATTGTTTCACTTTTCTCTGCTTTTATCACTTAGTTGCTTTTCACGTGTTACAATTTGTTGCTATTGGCATACACAATACACATCGAGATTTAATATAAAAATAATAATTTATTTATTTTATTTAGATAAAGGAAAAACACAATCATACATAACTATATAACTATTTAGGTACAATATTAATAAGCAATAGTAAACAGGGAATTAGCCCGCTGCACTAATTTCCACATCAATGGACAGTCATATCTACCGGCTATAGCAGTCAGGATACCGTGGTGACTTCCACGAGATTTCATACGAAACATAATTTTGCTGTCAAAATTCTAGCCAACACTCTCCCATACATTCCATTTTAGCAAAACCTACTGCAAAGTTTTAGTTGAAACTCGTAGTAATAAGGACTTATTTTATCCTGCCTACGTGAGCGAAGTATATATGGGATGACAAAGGATTTATTTTTTTTACCTAAAAACTTAAATCAAGACATGTGTAGCTTCATACTATTATTAGTTTTAAATGGTTTAATGTATCGACTTTGCATTGAATTTCCAAACAGCGTAACTCGAACCTGTAGGCAGATACACAGTATCAAGTTATATAATTCTATATAGCTCAATTTCAAATTCCTCTCCGTCTTTATTAGTTCTACGCCTTTGTGTCAAGAACAGTAAACACGCTTTCTCCAAGAATAAAAATAACATAAAATCCAATACACCGCTAAACAGTTTAATGAAGATACTTCGCGGAGTTGAAATGAAATAGTTAATAAAGTCATGTATGCAACAACACTGCATTGTGGGACATAGCAATTGTGTGCATTGTTTGTAGCACACACACTTTGTTCACAATAATGGTGACGTAAAAGTTGGAAGCGTAAGACTAAGTAGGCCACGTTGTATCTTGACATGGATATGTTCTTAACGTTTGTCTGCTCTGGCATTAAGATTTGTTTTTGGGAATGAGAATTATAAGGAAAAAAGCATAATTGTCATTACCGTGTGGACAAATTATCTAATTGAGTGTGCATTATCACGTCATAATTAAGAAGTCATTTGGTTTAAAAAGGTTTTGAATATTTAGTTATTGTGCGATATTACATTTTCTGTTATTGGCGTTATACACGAACAAAGAGCCTGGTTTGAAAATTATTACAATATCGTCATAACTAGACCACGAGCAGCTTTTAACACGTGAAAATTAGATAACATAAACTGTGGAAATATGCGTGTTACATGCATTCAGGGAATACAAGCATAACATAACGTTGATTAAACTTGCGTGACCATGCCTTGCATTTCCCCTTATCATCAGAATATCTATGTTATTCCTTTAATCAAATATAGTTTGTGTACTTAGGCACCACAAATATTATGTTCGGCCATGTTACAAAATAGGCCCCTGAGAGAAACGGCAACGGAACCCAGTCATGCGTGTCGATAATAAATCTAACGGAGGCACTGCCGATTCGGTCCCAAGATATTCAATGTGCTACGTACAATGTGGCTTGCGTAGGGTTAGGCCACAGTCTAAATATGAATGAGTTGTGGCCTTAGACGTAGTGTGGAACAAAGCCATTGTGCTGACATTCTTCGGTTTACATTAAAAGCAGTGCCGCAGTGGTGTGAACCAAATAAAAAAATCTGCGGGTCGTGTGAATGTTTTACCTTTCTTACATGATCTTAACCACTTTTACTTTACAGCTCAACTGAATTAATTAATGTTTTTCATCTGTGTTTTTCTTCATAATTTATGAGCAAATGAAGTAGAAAACCGGGAAGTAGCTTCATTTAATTAAGTTTGCTCGAAAGAAGTAAAATGCTATAATGTAGCCCAATGATATAGAAATGGTTTATAGCACTACTGACTACGTATTTGGCATTTAGATTGATGTCAATTGTATCATGACGCAGCGTGTGCTATGATAATTACAGTAAACTAGTATTAATGGCGGGCCACTGTATGTCGATAGACCATTACTGAGTGGTTTCCCTAACTGTTGTTCTAATAGCGATTGTGAAACAACATCTGTTGTCTGTCAAAATGTTAATTTTGTTCCCAAATAATAGTGATTGTTTAGAGATCTATGTTTATGTTTTTTCCGGTTGATATGATGGAAATATAGACGTGTTTTTTCCGTGAGATAATGACAAATGTATTGTGCGTTGTTGAAACAGACAAATTGTTTTTTTTTGGGCAGAAAAATATATCACACTCTACTGAGATGCTCGATTTATTCACAATAGACACATACAAGTTAGGGGGCCAGTCAGAGTCTAAGTGTTTTAAAACCCCTTTAAAAATGAGGCAGTGTAGATTTAAAGCTATTTATTTACACAAATTTTTAACTTAAATAAAACTTATCCTGGTGTTATATTAGATACTCATACATAAAGAGTAGAAATATCTCATCAATTTCTCACATTCGAAAGCTGATACATGAATGTATCTAAACGCTAATGCTACAGCGATCTGAAATTGGAAACTAATTTATTTCTGAGAACTCCATTAAGATATGAAGCCGGCAGTTACTTCCAGGAAACACTACACCATCCATTTGATTGAATTATTTACTTCGAGATACTTGGTACATCAACATTTTTAGAATTAAATAAATAGCAAAAATCTTCATGTATACCTTAACGTTTTCTTTGAAAACCCAAAAGTTTTATAGCACGAATATAAATTAGATATAGAAAGATTATTCAAGTAAAATATTTTCAGGTGAAGTAATTTAGTTTTAGATATAGTGGAAATAAAGTACCTATATTTTTAAATAATTGTAACTTTTTTGGGAATTCTCTGATATACCTAATATAAATTCATACATATGTCGGCAATATCAGGAAACAGCTTTGGGACGCCAGCGCCATCTAGTGGCGTTCGATGGAGTTAGTGTTGGAATGCACCGGGGTGGGGATTGCCAGTGGACCGGAGCAGCGCCCGCTAGCGGAGCACTTACTGGTTAGAGTTCACCCCGTGCAGACGACACTGAAACTATCACGCGTTCCATCTGCTGTGTAATTTCTATTTAATTGTAATTTCTATTTGATTGTGATTGAATATTAAAACGATTGCAAAAGTGAAGCCTTGTGTAATTCTCGTGTTAACACTATCCACGGAGGCCCACAATGAGCGATACCGAACCACTCCCGCCGTCATCAGAACTGGGATCAGTGTTGGCACAGAATGAGAACAATGCGGATAATCACTGGCGTGCTATGTTTGAGCAACAAAATGCGAACATGCGTGCACTAATCGAAGCTTTACAAACACCCAAGCCTATTCGGGTAGAACTACCCACGTTTGATCCGGCTAAAGAAGACACGGACGCGAGATCGTGGTGCGCAACGGCAGAATTATGTTTTTCCCACAACCCTCCAAGCGGCAGTCAACTCGTGCTTGCTGTGAGTAAGGCGCTAAAAGGTGAAGCATCCACGTGGCTGTCCCAGATAGCATACGAGAACATGGCATGGTGCGAATTCAAGATTCTTTTTACGTCGAGATTTATTTCGACGGAGACTTTGGCAGGTACCCTCATTAAATTTAATAATGACAAACCCAAAGAAAAAGAAACGTTACCCGCTTATGCAAGCCGTTTGATAGCATCTTTAACAAATCGCTGGAAGGATGTGAAGAAAGAAGAGATAGCTGTGGCTACTGTGCTCGCTCACATATCACAGTTTGACCCACGAATGCAACGTATGGCGTTTACGACTAACATTGCGTCAAGAGAGAAATTACAACAAGAATTAAACGCGTTCGCCCACTTGAAACGCAAAATAAATAGTGCCGATGATTCACCAAATTCGGATGAACCTAAACGCCTGAAGACTACGCCACTGAAGTGTTACAACTGTGGAAAAGCGGGCCATATGCGAGCGGAATGCAGAGGAAAACCCATCGACTCGAAGGGACGAGCATCACCACCTACAACATCGAGTCAAGCGACGCAGCAACCAGCAGCGAGGCAGTTTGTGTGCTTCAAATGCGGCAAGCCGGGCCATATCGCTGCCCGATGCACAAGCGGCGGCGCAACGAGTGACGGCAGCAGCAGCGGCGGCGCCGGCGCAGCGCGCAGCGAGCGGCGCGTGGAAGTGTGCAGCGTTCAACCTCCGCAGGGTGTATTACACCATAAAGGTGAATTGATTAATTTTACTTACGATTCTGGCGCTGAATGTTCGTTAGTTAAAGAAAGTTTTGCTGTTAAATTCAGCGGTAAACGTTTTAGTAATACTGTCGCTATGACTGGTATTGGTCAAACACGAGCATTCAGTACAGAACAGATTTTGTGTTGTGTTGCTATTAACGATCACCCTCTGGAAATTTTATTACACGTTTTACCCGATAATTATTTACAAAGTAATGTCATGATAGGTCGCGAGATTTTAAGTCAGGGTTTTACTGTTAATATGACTGCGACTAAGATTTCTTTTAATAGAGTTCTCTGCGTAAATTCAGTGAATAGTAGCAATAACGCGAGTAAATTGAATTTGTCTGACACCTCGATCGATATAACCGGTTGTGATAAATTGAAACTTTTAGAAACTTTGAATCGATTTTCCGAATTTTTCATAACGGGTTTTCCAACGACTCGAGTAAATACCGGAGAGCTTAAAATAAGATTAATTGATCCTAATCGCACAGTACAGCGGCGTCCTTATAGAATGACTGTAGAGGAACGCAGAGTTATACGCGGCCGGGTTAAGCAACTGGTAGACGCGAACATTATCAGACCAAGCTATTCTCCAATGGTCCGTAGTAAATAATTTTCATGACTCTATTGTTCATCTTGGAGCTGAGAAGACCTCTGAAAAGCTTTTCGATTTTTATTGGTTTCCGGGGATGTCGTAGTACGTAAAGAAGTTTGTAGATAACTGTGTCACGTGTAAAGTCGCAAAATCTCATTCCGGGAAGATCCAAGCAGAATTGCATCCGATCCCAAAAGTGACAATCCCATGGCACACGGTTCACATAGACGCTACGGGTAAGCTTAGCGTTGTTACTGACGTTGACATTGACGAAATGCGTAAAGTAGCATCTGACAATATTAGGAAGTGTGCGGATTACGATAAGTCCCGTTTTGATGCAACAAAGTCGAAAGTTAATAATTTTGCAATTGGC